TTTTGCCTTTTTATGAATCTCCTACATTTCTGTATAACTGTTTCATTTAGTAGAATGACATTAAAACATGTTCTAAACTAAAATTATTCGATTATAATGACGATAATGTTAGAAGGACGCAGTTTTTGGGTCAATATCTACTAAATTTACGGATAACAACTGAATTTGTAATTTATTTCTCAGAACAGGTTCTTCCGAAATGAAATAATAGTTATGACCTTGAGGAAGGATTAGTGAACATTTAAACCGTGCTGTGCAGCAAAGCTTATCATATAATAATTTTACGAAACATAGGTCAGATAGGAACTTGTAATTTCATAATTCTCGGTATTTAAATTTATAATGCAAGAAGAGATAAATTGGAAACAGCATAAATGTTCACAACACTTGCAAATCTAAAGTACACTGGCGTTGAAGTTACGTTTGTGAATTGTTGAATAAATTAATTTAGATTTAAGAGCTCCAGTCTCTTTAGTGATTGAGAATAATTCTCAGTGTCCATTAGATAGACGACTTGGAGTACCCCAGAGTCGGTCTGGACTTGGTGGGCAAGACAAAAGTAATTTTCTCATAATCGCAACAACAGATGCAGAATGATAAAATCTGTTTCGAGCAGGTTAGGTTAAATTATCGAGAATATTAACATTTTTTACAGGATTTAATTAGATCTCATAAACTTAGTGCCCTATCTTAATTAAATTTGATGAACGTCAGGAGTTTTTGTATGTGTTCGAAATTAAAATTGATTATTTGATATCTGGGTTAAATTCTCAGCTATTTTCAAGAAGTGCATGAATTTATTTGAGTAATTAGACGTGGAAACGGAACATTCGACTGTCATCGTGTTAAATCAAAATATTTTGGTTTATGCCTGAATTTTACATCGGATGACAGAACTAATAATTGTTGACGAGTGGGATACTTGGATTCGTTTTGATCCAGCGTAATCCCTACTTTGCATGAAACCAAAGTCGTATTTCATATGTTTCTCAAAATCAATTGTTCATTTGTGGCGTAAAAGTTAGATCCCACTCAGACTTTCAAGTGCAATTTAATACAGAAATCGCCTGATTGTGTTCCATTAGCTTTGTAACAACAGCTTCGTATCTACAACAAATAAACGTCAAGCCTAACACATAAGAAAAAATGACAAGAAATGCGTTTGGAAATGCTTTGTTCGTTCCAGATTAGAGTTATAATTTCGCTGTGTGAAACGTTTGGCTTGAATCTAATTGTTCGTTCACAGCAGGTAACTCTCTCGCGTTTGTCTCTAAATACTCCTTCCGGCACATTATCCGAATATCCGGTCTTTTATGTTTTTGAGACTCATTGGGGAGTACGTGATGCACAAAAGATGGCAGGGGATCGCAGACGGAGACAAGACAGTGTACTTGTTCATAAAGTCGGGACACGCGTGGACCAGGGTGCGTAGAACAAAAACGAGGTCCTATCGCTTCGGTACCGAGCAGAAATCGGGGGCCAGAAAGTGTGAAAAACCACAAGATGACCACTCAGCTCCGTCTAGCTTCGAGATTAGTTAGTGTAGCTATCAGGGGCGAAGTTTCTATGTTAATCGTGTTAGTCTGCCTAACACTTTAAAAAACGAAAGATATCTGTTTTCGTGTCTTAGTGGTACTCTGTACATTGGAACAAAGCAGAGCCGATCAGATAAAACACATCGTTAGCCAGCTCTAGCCAATCGGGCGCTGTTAGCCAGCGTGTTGAGGCTTATGCTCGCCGTCTGCCAAGCATGCGCAGTTGAAGGAGGAGTTTTGTAGATGTTAATTAGGGGAAGTTAAGCAACTATTTTCAGAAAACTGATCTCGTATATGCATTAACTATCTCCGTGGAATGGAGTTGTTGTTGTTGGTTTTTTTTTTGTTTTTTTATTGATAGTCGTTTACCTAGCCATAGAAGCTGAAGGTTTGTTTCCACGTTAACAAGAGTTCGCCAGCGCAGACAGCATTGAGACAGTTAAATTCAAGCATAATCACACATATTTCTCATGTAATTCTCCCATCTACGTTGGTTTTTCAAGTGATATGTTTCCTACACTTTTCGACTGAAATTCTATATGCAATTCGTATTTCCGGTACATACTCTATGCCCGGCCTATCTCGTCTTCCTTGATTTTGTCATTCTAATATTTGGTGAAAAGTACAAAATATGGATCTCGTCAATATTCAGTTGTCTCAGGCGTGTATAGATATTTTTTTTATCAGCTAATTGTTCTCAAACACCGTCAGTCCAGGTCATTCCTTTGATGTGACAGGCCACGTTTCGCATTCATATAAAACATCACAGATTCTCTTCATCAGCTGTCAGACGCACGTTACTCTACACAACATCTCTTGATAAATATAACGTCTGACTACAATAAACAACTTACCATGAAAATGGAAAACTACAAACAGAACTACGGATCATTATAATATATTGCATCAAATATCTAATAGTTTTTAAAATATTTTAAATTGATAAAAACCTGAAGACGACGGTATTACCCGTCGAAACATGTCGTTTTAATAAAAAGCGCTAAAAAATATAATGTAAAATCGTATTTACGATTAAGAGCGCTAATATAATATTTTACACAACAAAATGTTTTAATATTATATAATTTTTACAACACCAATAAACATCAAACGTTTGTGTATAGACTGTACAAAATAAATATATTTAATCAAACACAAACATGACGCATATAAGATACAAAATCAATATTTTTGTATATATTCATTTTCACGCTTTTAGACAGGGATAGTAAAAGGTTCTCGACGGATCATACCGCATATATTTCTCCTACTGTTGCGAATGCAGTCTTTGCCAAAGACGCAGCAGCTAGGGGACACAGATCTCTTCGGCTGTTAGACGGAACGGGAGTAAGTAGGTGTTGAAAAAAAAATATCCTATTTTCTGCAGAAGCAAGGGTTAGTGATCTGGGTTAAAGTCCTGGTATGTGCGAATGGTCTTTTGTAGGACCGACCATCACTCGTTTGTCTTACCGACCGGCTATCTCAGAAGGCGGTAGGTACCGCAGAGAGGTCTTAAAATAGGAACATGTGGCTACGAGGCCTCTCTCTGCTTTACTAGCTAGCAGCATCAAACTAAACTTTAGCCCTGTGCTTGCCGGCGGTTGGATTGGGCTAACTTCCAACGCACAGTACACAGCTTCTCCACGGCCTACAACTGAGACGATGTGATGACGGCGTCCGGGCAGTATTAAAACTTTGTAGAGGCGAGCTGAGGAACATTCTTCAGACTTCTGTGTGCCTTCGGCCCACACAGGTGGCGTGTGTTATGTGCATTTTGTATGTTGTTTGTGGTGACAATGCTCGTTCAAGTGGTTTATGCGATATAAACATACTCGATGTTTTGGAATTCCTTCATCGTGAACTGTTCTGAGCAGAATTTAGATATTGTAAACATATTTGCGAAGGATTTCATGTGTTATTTGATTTGAAATTTATGACAATCTAATTTTATTGTAAGAATTTGTTGATGCTGACAGTTTATTAACAGAATGTGTTCTTCAAATTTTGGAACTCGTTGATGTAGACTGAAACAATAATTTTGAAATTAAGTTCAGACAGATATTTAAATAGGCTGAAAACTTGATTTGAATATGGATATGTGTGAAGTATTTTGGTGCATTGAAGCCCTCCCACGTGGAATAGTGATGTGAGATGCAAGAAGGTCCCTGAGGCGGTTAATGACTGTGTGGAAATGTCTTCGCATAGGAGCTACGTGAGTATTAACAGTTGACGAGGCTTCTGGCGTATGTTGCATGTGCATCAGAAATCCAAGGTGCAGCTCCTACCTGCAAGCAGAGCGACCATAACTTGTGCAAATGACGATTTGTCGTGGAGAGTCGTATTCTTATAAACAAGTCTTCTAATTATCTTACTTATTTAATGTATTAATATACTACGTTGGATATAACATTTTATATATAATTTTCGGTTGATAATTTCCTAACAGGCCTATGCAGTGCAAAATAAATTGTACAGTTTTTTAGTTTGCACTGCACATGTTCAAATAGGGTTTACCCTGAGCGCCATGTGGTTATTTTCTGAGCATATTATGCATCCAGCATTATTTATATATAACTTTAAAAGAAATTAATGTTATTATATTCCGATAACAATTCTCGTTTTGTTTTTAATATGAATGTAATTTACTTTTTGTTGTTTAATGATTAATTGAATTCAGAAGCATGTGTGCGTTTAACGTTCGTGCCTGAAAGATAACAAAGCTTTTCTATTACGAAGACCAATAGGCTAATGTTGTTCAAGGGAATAATCGTCTATGTTTTGGGTCATACGAAGGTTTTCCAGCAGAGATTTTTTATGATTTCTCATATACTCTATTCGTGCAAAATTCCCTACTCATGTAATTATCCTTGATGTTAACACCCTGATAGAGGGAACCAGTTACGTAGTCTTTAAATTTAATATTACAGAATTAAAATGGTGTAGCTGAAAACCCCCGTAATGGCGTTAAGTAGGAAATCACTTGGTTGTTTAATATCTTTTAAAATAAATATATGGTTGGACCACAGTCTCAAGTAAATAGTAGGGTGAAGGTAGATTTAAATATAATTTCATATCGTTTCATATTGAAGTGCTGTTGATGGTAGAACTCACGAATGTACGCTGAGCGTGGATTGTCAACTGTATGATGACCTGTCCTTTGTTGAGGTTAGCAATGTCACAAAAGACTCGTTCTATCGTCATAACAGAGGAGAAATTTTGATTGTTTTATGGAGTGTTTCGTCTCTTTCTTCAGTTACCGGTTTGACGCCCACTCTTACTCTGTAAAGTAGTGAGGTATCCGGATTAATCTTGGCCCGGAGACCAGCTGTTCTGAAGATTTTCATGGTTTTTGTCAGTCAGTATGTTTGCATTGTACCCTAACATAGGCCATGATCGCTTTATCTTACATTTTACTGTGGTTCCTCGTTCGATTCTTGGCCGAGTAATCGGAAATACCAACCAAAGTTTATCGTGTGTCCGGCTACTTACACCATTCGGTGAAAAGTTTAAAATAAATGTCCTCGGCTGTCGATTCGCGTAGCTCCTGCATGCCAGTTAATGCCAACAGTCTCAGGATCGTGACGAAAAACCTCGCATAAAGAATTCTCTGAGTTGGATACAAACCCACGGCCTGTGTATTCAAGACTGCTAGACTTGTCATGACCTTGATTCGGAAATCGGCACCAGTCCAAAATTTTCCTGCAATGTCTGACGGAGTTGCAAGATATTCAGGAACTGTGGCAGGCTATACTATGAGATGCTGAATTTAATATCGCGTGAATAGGGCGTTTCTTATGGGAATGATCAGGAAGTGTGTTTGCTGTTGACAGGTTAAACCAAAAGAAGGGGGGTAAAAATTAATTTATCAGTGTTTTCAAATAATACAACGCTGTAGGACTAGACCTTATAAAAGAAAATGAGACGTTATATAGCACGAAAATGTTTACTTGTGTCAGATTAAGTTAATACAGAATGTCCACCACAAATCATAACCATATTTTCATTTATAAAGATCTGAAGATGGCAGTTATTTTTGTCGAAACATGTTACCTATGTTTGATATAATAAAGTTACTTGACAGAAGATATATATATATATATACATGGATTAACTAGATCGGTCTGGTTGGTAGCAGCAGCATTAGAATATAACGCCCCATTTGATACGATGGCTGTCAAGTCGTTACGCCAGTTTTTAGTTAAATCATGGTTATGACGCCACTGGACAGGTCACGTAAATACCCTGTTGTATTTCTGGCACTCCCAGACAGAAGGTGGTATGACTGTGGCATTTGTGGGCCCCATCCTAATTTAACGAAATATTCTTTAAAACGTAAAGTACAGCTTTCCCTCTATACGCCGTGTAGGCGTTTAGGAGGGGGGGGGGAAGGCGTATAATTCCGTCAGCGTATTATTATTTTGAGACTAAATAACATCGATGTCTTGTTAATTGTAATGTTACAGTTACTTTTTCCTGTAACTTAGCACCGTCTCTGCGGAGTTCGATAATGCATTGTGTTTAGTCACTCGGGAAGTCCGCCAAGAGTTAGATGTATGAACAGTGCCCAAATCTGATTCATAAATTTTTCTGTCTCTCTTCTCCTCGTCTTAAGAATCTCTTTTGCAGAGTAAAACAAAGGAACAAAATTGTGGTTAAAATACAGGTGCAGTATATGTATGTTGGTAGATCTACTTGCCCAGGATGGCGAACTTACGAGACTCGTTTCTGAGGCGAATACGCGGTGGATTAATGGGTCATCTGCGCCGAAGTTGATGCGCAGTGA